CTAAATTACTAAAATATCGATATTTTAATGTGAGAATCGATTCTAGAACATAAATGATTGGTATCGGAGGAATCGATATTTCAGGATCGATCCGCACATCACTACTAAACAATCTCATAGTGCCACCTACTGACATTCTTTGGTAAAAGCAGTTCATTTTCATGAGGCAAATTTTAGTGGGTTACAATTGTAAGGTTTTTTTTTAATTTAAACAAAATGTTTTTGGTTTTTTTCGGAACATAGGCTACTGCAGTTGTGTGCATTTGCTCACAGCTGCAAGAGGGTGCCATTAAAACAGCGCTATTATTTTTTCTGTTGACTGCTTCTCTTAGCTTCAACCAACATAATTAGCAAACGTACTCATGGGCAAATAAATAAATCGCTCTTGTAAAATCGATCTGCAAAAGGCTCAGCCTACGTTGATAGTCGATATATGTGTTCAGTCGCCCAACCTTACTCCACAGTCACCAGATCTCAGTCCAATAGAGCACCTTTGGGATGTGGTGGAACAAGAGAGTCAGATGATGGATGTGCAGCTGATAAATCTGCAGGAACTGTGTGATACTGTCTGGACAATATGAACCAAAATCTCAGAGGAATGTTTCCTGTATCTTGTTGAATCTGTACCATAAAGAATTAAGGCAGTACTGAAAGCAAAAGAGGGTCCTTCTAAGGATTAACAAGGTGAAACTAATAAAGTGAGCAGTGGGTATATATTTATCAATCAATGTTCTTATTCGCTTCTCTCCAGAGAATTAGATACTTTATGCTAACTGTATTATCTTCTGGCAATAAATTAGTCTTATATTTAGCTTACAATCATGAGAGGAATATTAAATATTGAAGTGATTATTAGCATCAATGTCAGCCTGTTAAGACTAACATTAGTTCTGTAGCCAGTGACTATTGATATCGGTAAATTCAAGTAGAACACATATTCTGGTTGTCTCATGGTGTGTGATTGACGCTTTAATGCTAGAATGTTTGTTTAACTTGTACATAACAGCATTTTAAGAATGTTTTTTGGCCCGATGCACCATGTAAAACCATCTTTTTTTTCAATGCACGCTGTGCATTTTGACAAAACACCAACATCTGCACTACCTCATTTGAATGAAACTTTCATCATGTTGAGCCTCTCTTGTCACCTTTGTGCTGTGCATGCTGTTCTAGGCATCAAAAATACGGAACAATCAGAAAAAATGCATTTCAATTGGAAACAGCTTGTTGTATTGCTGCTCAAGCTTATCTTTTCACGCATCTTTCTGCTGCTGTTGAAGGGAAACTGTGATGCAGTGAGCGACAGCACTGGGTTCATCAATTTAGGTTTCTATCATTGGTTTTCTCTCTCTCTCTGTACCTGCCACCATCTCTGTGCCTTTTTTTAATGGCACCTAGCCTGAGTTACAGTCATGGTAAGCTGGCAAATCTAACCTTTCAGTGGTAGGTGAGCAGATTTATACCCCAGAGAAGCTCCAATCAATGAAGTAATTTGTTAAGAAAGGAAGGCGCTTGCTAAAGGCTGCCTAAGTGAACTGCTTGTTTGTTTTTGAAGAAAAGTGTTTCTTGGAGGGGAATACAAAATGTGGTTGGAAACCAGATGAGACAAAGTAAAGATGTATGTTTAACAAGTTAAGAAAGGTGTTGCAGTTCACTTTAAAGGACCCTCGCTGTTATAGCAACAAATATGCAATTAAACAACATTGTATGAAACTCAAACGCTCTCAGCCCCTGAACAATAAAGCCAAGGAAAGTCTTGTTTATTGAGCATTGTTAACCAGAAAACTGCAACATACCTAAAGTTAGTACTTGACTTTGTGGTCTCGGTTTTGTTTACTTCATATTTCATGCAAGGACAGAACAAAGTTATGGTCTAGCTCTTTTTTATTTCAAAAGAATGAGCACTCTGAAATTCAAAACCAGCCATGCAACAAGATGCATTCTTATGAGGAAAAAAACCTTGAAGCTTCTGGGTCTGTTGTTATCTCTATCAGGACGCTGCCTCCTGCCAAATGCATAGCGCTGTCTGGTGCGGTCTGTTTTCTCCCCCTCGCCTTTCAAGATAATAACTTTAATGTGGACCCAGAATTACATTTTGCCTTCTTTAAACATGGCGGTAATCTCTGACTCCTGCTGTTATTGAATTAGGGTGTGGGTTCATGTGGGATGGAGGGATGAAGGTGGGTGTAGATAAGGGGCCTGGCTCGTAGCCCGTTACAGCACAGTGAGATGTGATATGCGATGGCAGCACACGGATATTGGGTGCAGGACAGATCAGACAATGCAGTGGAAAAAGTAAAGTCAAATTAACCTCAGGGAGACCTGAAGATGCAATTTTGGTGGAGGTGCAGAGTGGAAGCAGACGGTGGAGAGGACAGAATGAGCAGCAGTGAAGAGGATCTTCACCTCTCTGAGGAGAAGAAGTCGATGGAGAATGCTTATTCTATTTCCTGCCACAACGAGCCTGAAGGCTGTTTCATATATCTGACACTCATGCTCCTACAGTGACCAGGTAGCTTTTTCCTATCAGGTAACGCTCATAAGAGAAGGATACCATTCCCTTGATTCATTCTACATGTTGAAAAAAAAATAGCTCTTGTTAAAATTGAGAATCTTTGTCTGTTCTCTCCATGTTTCAACTTTTCCCTCAGTCTTTTCCAGTTTAGTTTATCTTCGGTTCTGATGAATATCCTAACGATAATGTAGAGAGACCTTCGCCAGAAATTGATCGCTGACATTTGACCAGAATAAATATTTACAAGCCGGTGTTGTTAGGAGCAGGATGTAGATAAGATCAGATTTTTCTTCTTTTTTTTCCTCTTTACTTCATATGATATAAAGTAAACATCCCCGGTACTTCCACCTGACAGGAATATCGCTGAATAAGTCATGCTCAGGGATATAAACATTCCCAAGTTAAGTGAACTGAATGAAAACAGCTTTAGGGAAAAGTTCATTTCTAAATACCACTTCAGTCTGCTTGTTTGACCTTAAAAATAATTCAGGCATTTATTTAAACTCGACATTTCCCTGATAATGCAGATGTTTCCTCTTTTTTCCTTTTCTTTCAAACTGTTGGTTGTTTGGGAGGTTTTTCGCTCAAAATGTGAAAGAAGTAAGGACACGTTTAACAGCATGTATTGATTTTAGTAATAACTTCATGTACAAAGTTTGTGAGAAATCCTAGTTGGTGAGTCCATTGATCTGAGCAAAGCTGAGTTGAATTTGAGATGGGTTGACCGTGTTTGTGGAGTTAGAGATGTGAAGAGATTTCAGGACTCTTTCAAACAAAACCAGACAGAATGTTGATCGGGGATCCAATATGGTGATTCTAAAACCGACTCCTTGCTTTTACAGTGGAGCCAACTTTCAAAAAAAATAAGATGTTTCTTGTTTTGCTCTTTGCTGAGATAAAAACTTTGGTGTGTAAGTGTAAAAGAGATAACGAGTTTGGAGAAATAACATAAGCATAAAGGCAATTTATCTGAAAGAAAAATGTCCAGAATTTTTGTTTGGACTTTTATTCAATGTGGCTGTATGTTTAGGAAATATTTTATGGTTTTCTCTACTATAATTCAAAAACACAGATTTTATCAGCCTGTATAAACAGTGCAGAAGTGTTTTTGAGTTTGGCTCTAGAGGTCCACTGAAAAACACTTGCTTTCAGTTAATTGATGTTTTTATTTGTGTTGTTTTTTGCTTTGTTTGTACCTGACAGAAAGATATTTTAGATGTTGAGATTGTCCATCGCAGAATAACATTAGGGAGGTACCGTACCAGTTTGATTTCTTTGGTGTGAGATGTGATGGCGCAGTATGAACCAATATCATAATTTAATCGAAATAAATTCTTGCGATTTTTATTTTGTTTTGATAGAAACAAAATTAGTTATTATATTTAGGAATATAACATAATACCTTTCTCCAAATATATATCAAGCAAACAGCAGTTCTACCGTAGCAGTCGCCATTCGCTGTCACAACCATCTGCTTCTTATGCACACACATGTCCTTCATGATTTGATTTAACCACTCTCCTAACATCGCTTTTAGTTATTGTTGGGAAATGGGTGGCATCAAGGTCCTTTAGTAAATTGCTGGGCTACAAATCTTCATGACACAATGCCTCAGTGTCTTCATGACATACCAGTAGAAACAGATTGAATAAACATGAATTCTTTTGAAAGGCTTACCAGGAGATAATATCGTCACTCTGAAAAGAACATAGCCTATGTTTGTAATGGTAAAACTGCTGGAACATCGTCTTGTGGACAGATCAAAACAAAGTGGAGATATTTGGCTATAATATATGATGCTGTGTTTGATAAAAAGGAAATGCAGCATATTAGCACAAACACTTCATATCAGCTGTCAGGGATTGTGGTGGAGGGCTTGTTTTGCAGTCACAGGACTGGGCACCTTGACATTATTGAGTAAACCATGAACTCCTCTGTATACCAAAGTACTCTAGAGCAGCGGTCCCCAATCCCCGGGCCTCGGACCGGTACCGGTCCGTGAGTCGTTTGGTACCGGGCCGCGAGAGTTGAGGCTCAGGTGTGAAATGTATGGTTTTCAGGGTTTTTATCGGTTTTCAGCGTTATTTTGTTATCGTTTTGATCGTTTACTCGGTTTTCCTGGGTCTTTTCACGTGTGTTATAAATAAATCTTCTTTTTTTCAGTACCGGTACTAGTTTTATTTTGTTGTATTTATCCGCGACACCTTAAAGGCCAGTCCGTGAAAATATTGTCGGGCATAAACCGGTCCGTGGCACAAAAAAGGTTGGAGACCGCTGCTCTAGAGTCAAAAGTGAGGCCACTGATCTAGCAGCTAAAGCTTGGCAAAAATTGGTCAAGCAACATGGCAATGAAGGACATTGAAGCTAAAGACACCAGCAAATCTAACAGGATGGTTGAAAGAAAAGACTCAAAGTGTTGCAGTGGTCCAAACAAGACCTCAACCTGACATTTCCTGATAAATATTGTGTCTGGACCTTAAGAGAGCTGTGTATAAATAAATGATAAACTGAAGAAACGTGATAAAGAAGAGTTGGCCACAATGATGGGAGAAATTAGAAAAAAATAATAAGGAAAATGATTACGTCAAGCTACTAAAGGTAGTTCTAGATTCTGCTGGATCATGAGATGCATTTAGCTCTTTACAGGACTGTCTTGTTAAAACTCTCTTTTTCATATCATAACTATATATATTGGCTAATTAATTAATTTAGTGCCAAATCCTTGCAGTACTGTTTATGACCCAGCAAACAGAGCAGCTTCTGTGTAAACATTCATGTCGCTAAAAACTGTGAACTCGCGATCATAAATGAAGCCGAGTCAATTACTGTGACAACATTTTTGTCAGCTTTTATTTTCTGTCATCTTGATTTTGGTGGCTGTCATAGGGCACTGCTTAGACAGACGTTAGCGAGTAAATCAAACAGAATCTGTAAACACGGTGGTTTTAAAATATGATGGTCCATTTCCAGTAGAAAGGAAATCTTGGTGTAGATCAATTTAATTTAGAAAGTATTGGCAAATCTTAGATTAGATACATTCTCAGAAAATAAATGTGTTATTGTGCCTCTAGTGATACGACTTATTGCTGAGGTAGTGCTCTCTAAGGTGTTGCTGTTGTACTGTTGTGGTTTATCCTCTAGACAGAGACCAGGCTTGAACCTCCAGAACAGTTTTATACATTTTTAAAGAATGTGGGACATTAATTTGTTTTGTGTCATTATTCATTAAATGGACAATAGACTGGCATTTGTACGGTGTCTTTCTAGGCCTGCTATCTACCACAGACTTAACCTACTGTACTAGGGATGAATATCGTTTAGGTTTTATCCAATACCGGTGCCAAACCGGTACTTTTGAAACGGTGCCGGTGCTTAAAC